ACAAGAAATCCTAAACACATCATTTAATCAATAGTACTTTTGTCACCAGAGAGGGTCCAAGGAATTCCCAAAAGAAGGGAACATCAACTTGGAACCACTCATGTTCTTTTTTATCCTGTGGTACTGGGGATCATACTCAGGGCTTCTGCCCCAGCAAGCACTCTACCTTTGAGCTACACCCTCAGCCCCTCCCAGTTCTTAACATTTATTACAAAAAGAGTAGAAGGACCTGTTCTTATGTAAAGATTTATTTAAGAACAGCAAAGGAATTCACACTCAGAAGTGTGGATGACCCTTGCCTCTCAGAGAAGATGAGTGACATGCCCAAATTTGAGTGCTCTGATGATATATATGATTTTTCAGAGGGTGGGCTGGGATCACAAACAGGTGAGCCGCTGTTAGATTTCGATGATTTGTTAAATGTTTATAAACTTTCTTAAAGATTAAGTTTCGTGACAGCTAAATCCCCTAACAACCACTCTATACTTAGAGGTTAGAATTTTTTCTGTATCAGATAGCCTAGCCATTAATCATTTGTGGGCACATAGAGTAAGCACCTCAGGTGAGTGAAATTTTAATTAATCATACGTCTAATCTCTATAAGCATATGTTAAATGTTCTGTTTATCTTTAACTGATGAGCAAACCCAACATAACTTGTCATGTTTTTAGATGTCTCCTTTTATTAAGGATCTTTCCCCATGATCCCATTGTAGTTGACCTATTTCACTTTGAATCCTAGTCTTCTTCCCCAGTCTGCCTATAACTACATATTAATAACTGTCCTCAGTGGGAACAGAGGGAACTGTACTTATTCCATTTTATCTAATACTGAAACTTCTATGGATTTTTTAAATGAAAGAAATACAATATGAGTATTTGGTTTGGGGACCTAAATTTTCCCAACAAAATTTTGTGATAGCACAATCTAATATGTTACCTTGCATTTAACTTGCTAGCACAATCTTAACAAGTATTGTCTTACAAAAAGTATACTTGGACTTTTGTTTCCATAAGGGCTTATATTCTTTCTCTATTCAAATGACTCTCTTTTCAAATGCCTTTCTCCCCATTATCTTTCATAATTCTCTCTTTTACTGTTGTTGAATACTAATTACACCTGATCCTCATTTGTCCATGCTTTCCACCATGATGTAAAGAGCCCCTCATTTTCCTTGACTTTAGAAACATTCCCTTATAACATATTTGCACATTTGCTTTGTTTATTTGTCCTTTTAGCTGTTTGTATTAGACAGGAAGAGACTGACGCACAACAAAAAAAAAAATTGACCTGTTCAGTAGAGTGAAATGTTAAGTATGGCATACTGTTTAAATGGAGAATAAACTATAAATGCTTAGTTGCATGGTGAATTTTTTTTATATTTATTTTTTAGTTGTAGTTAGGCACAATACCTTTATTTAATTAATTAATTTATTTTTTATGTGGTGCTGAGGATGGAACCCAGGGCCTCACACATGCTAGGCGGGTGCTTTACCACTGAGCCACAACCCCAGCCTCATGGTAAATATTTTTAATGTCATGATTTTTTATTATCTTTGTGGCTTAATACATTTTTGAAGAATAATAATGATTATTTTTAATAACAAAGGCTCCTTTATAAAAAAAAAAAGAACTAAAATATTGGAAAATAGATTGCTGGGGTTGTAGCTCAGTGGTAGAGCACTTGCCTCGCATGAGTGAAACACTGGGTTTGATCCTCAGAACCACATTAAAAATAAATAAATAAAGATTGTGTGTGTCTACAACTAAAAATTTTTTTTTTTAAATTGGGAAATAAAGACATAGTTTCTGATTACACCCCAATCCTCTTTATTTTCATTTTTGTTTCTTTTTTGTGGCAGAGCACACCAGGGTTGACCTACCCAAATTCCCCTTTTCAAATTTTGAGACTAGGCCTCACTAAGTTGCCATGTTTTCAACCATTTGTAAAATCTTCATAAAATCGTTTTGTTTATTTTTGCAGTCCTGGGGATCAAACCTAAGTCCTGGCCCATGCTAGGCTGGTGCTGTACCACTGAGCTATACTCCCACCCCATAAAATCAGAATTGAGGAGAGCTCTTATAAACAAACATACATACTGTTTACTAGCACAGGTTGAGCATCCCTAATCCAAATTACAATATCTGAAACTTTTTTTCATGACTGTCATGATGTCAATTATAAAATTCCACACCTGACTTCAGGGTTACATGGGGTGAAGTATTTTGGTATATTGGGTCATAGATCTCTACTGATTGGCATTGAAGAATATATAAGACATATTGTTAAATGCCAAAAAGAGGTGATAACAATGTGATAGTGATTCCATTTGTGCAAAAAACCCAAAAATCATATTGGTGTCCATATGTGTGTGTAAAAATAGCAAAATTCATGAAAGAACATCTACCAAACAGGTCACTTCTTAGGAAAAGAGTAGATGCAGAAAGAGAGATGTTAAGGGAGACTTGTACCCTTTGTAGTTTTTAGAAGATTGTTTTCTATTATTATGTGTATTACTAAATTTAACAAGGAGATTATGAATAAATAAATAATGGAATGTTGATAGTTTACTATTATTTAACCATTTAGATGCCACTCTGACAGTCAATAATTTGTGAACATTCTCTGGATTTGAAACCCTTTTTTAATCACATCAAATTCAGTTTTTTATTAGTGCTTTATAGTGATGTATAATTGTGGGTTTTATGTTGACATATTTATAAATGCATATAACCTAAATTGTTCCATTTCAATCTCCAGTATTGTACCCTTACCTCTCTACCTCCCTCCCCAACCCCTTTCCTCTATTCTATAGAACATCTGTTAATTTATTTTAAAATGTTTTAGTTGTCAATGCACCTTTATTTTATTTATTTAACATGGTGCTGAGAATCAAACCCAATGGCTCAAACATGCTCTACCACTGAGCTACAACTATAGCCCTGTTATTTTTAATTGGCTTTTGAGATACCAGAGTGATTTTGTTTCTGTTAGTCTGTAGGACCTCGAGATCTCAGTTCCTTTTTTTTTTTTTTTTTTTTAATGTGCATGCACAAATACAAATAAAAGCCCTGGAATGTTTAAAGATTCTAGATGTTAATAATGACAAACTCTGAGAGATACCATTATACATGTTAAAAATATTTTTTATTATATAGTCTATTGTTTCTATAAGAAATAAATATTGTTATACCTAGTAGATAGTAGTTAGGGGTTTTTGGTAGAAAATACTCAACACTGGAATTGTATGGTGAACTTGATATTCTCATACATTGATGATGGCAGTATAACTTGAGGCATCTGTTTTGGAAAGATATTTAATATAATGTGTCAAAAGTCTGAAAATGATCATACCTTCTAAAAATGCACTGTGCAATAACCCAAGATTATGTTAAAAAATATGCTTATGAGAGCATTACTTTTAATTAGAAATTGTCTTTAATATCTTAAATTGCATTTGGTAAAATATTATGAAGATCTTAAAAATGTTCAGGAGAAAATTCTGATAAATCTAAAAGCTCCTTCTCAGCCCTTTTTCTGCAAAGGTAAATAGTACTTTTTGCTTTTACTTTTTTTGTGGTGCTGGGGATCAAACCCAGAATTAGGCCCATGCTAGCCAAGTGCTCTACAACTGAGCTACAATGTTAAACCAGAATTTTTTTTTTTTTTTACCTATATTGCTAAAGATTGGTTTTACCTCTGCTTGATCTTTATATATACATTTGTGTTTTTCTCTTATTCGATTCAGTATAATATCTTTGAGATTTATACCTATCGTATATATCAGTACTTTGTTCCTGTTTTATTCCTGTTTAGTATTCCATTGCGTATCTATACAACAATTTATCCTGATTTTCTATTAATATACATTTGAGTTGTTTCTAGTTTGGAACTATTGTGAATAAAACTCTTATAAACATTTTGGTTTGTATCTTTTGGAGGACATATGCACTCATTTTTCTTGGGTAAATAATTAGCAGTAAGATTACTTCTGAGTGTGGTGGCACACACCTATAATTCCAGCTATTCAGAGCCTGAGGCAAGAGGATTCCAAATTAGAGGTGAGCCTATGCAACTTAGCAAGACCCTGTCTTAACATTAAAAAATAAAAAAGAGCTGAAGATATAACTTGGTGGTAGAGCACCACTGGGTTTTATCCCCAGAACTGAAAAAAAAAAAAAAATAGGATTACTATAGCGTATGGTAAATGTTTCATTTTATAAGAAACTGTCAAGCTATTTTCTAAACTGTACCAATGTACATTCCCACTAGCAATGGGCTGGAATTCCAGTTATTCCATATACTTGCCAGAATTTAATATCACTAGTCTTTAATTTTAGCTCTTCTGATGGATATATAATATTGTCACATTGTGGTTTTGTATGCTTAAGTGCTCTTAGTTTTAATGTTTATAACTTTTGAACCAATATCATTTTAAGGATGTAATCTGAAATCCAGAAAAAAATTTATATGGACAATATAAACTCTTCCTATATAGCTTAAAATAGCCAAATATTAGAAATAACCTAAATGTCAGATATTATCGAAGTGATTACAAAATTTTATGATAAATGCATAATGATAAAATATTCATCCATTTAAAATTATAGAGTAGAATGTCAACCAAAAAAATATGTATATAAAATGGTATATACTGCAGCACAATTTTTTAAAAACTAATATAAGGAAACACATTGAAATATTGTTAGATGGCTATATTATGTGATTCCCCACCCCATTCTTATGTATGTTTCCTACAGATCATGTGATCATTTTAGAATATCATGAAATGTAAGTAAATTTTTTTAAAGAAAATCCATATTTTATGTTCCATAATGATTTCTCTCTCCCTAATCTTTTCTACAAAGTAGAAATTTGTTTTCTTGGGTTTCTCTAAATATTTGATTTCTGCTATTGTTTTGACTCCCTACTTATAAGTTGTATGAAAAAGACTCTCTTATCATTTCTTTTTCTGACAATCTGATGTGCCAACAACCAGTCCAGGACAGAAGATAAAATAGAACGATTCAAGAAAGCAGTTGAATACTATTCAGTCACAACCAAACTCTCTTCACTGCCAGTGGGTCCCTCCTTTCTAGGTAAGGCTTCCGTCTGACCCCAGGCTGCTCTGTTCATAGGGGAAACTGTGTTGGTACATCAGGAACTCCAGGGTCAGAGTGGAATCACTTATTTGTGATTGTGCCTTCCTAGAAGTCATCACTATTTGGAAGGCATTTAATTTTGATTTTCATGTAAAACAATGAAGACCCTGCCTTCCCAAATTTTTAGATGGGGAACAAAGTTATTTGCTTAGTTTAGACTGCTTCTAGTAGTAACCCATGCTGTCTTGATATAAAACAGCCCTGGCTTTGGGGTTAGGTCTGAGTTTGAATCCTACCTCTGCTGCTTACCATCTGTGTGACTTTGTAAAGTCACATTCATGATATGTAATCTATAGGGTTATTATCATATGAATTTTTTTTATTTAAGACTCCTGGCATGACACAGAGTAGCTGTTCAATTAACTAACTTTCTGTGGTGTTGGGGATCAAACCCAGGGCTTTATGCATGCTAGGCAATGGCTTAATCACTGAACCATATCCCCAGCCTGTACCTTATTTATTAATAAAAATTTTCCATGTGGTGGTGGTTTGGCAGAATATAGCATTGTAAATTTATTAGGACTGATTGAAGTACAGCCTTTTCTCTTGGCTTCAGGCTTTCGAAATAACCGTCTTGGAAATCCTCCCCTTCCACGAAATCAAATGGGCACAATTTCTGCTGGAAAGCCAATGGTAAGCATCCTTTAAGAGGCCTGAGACCTTTTGTTAGCATTGGACTCAGATTGCTTCCTGGTTTTTATTATCTGAGTTGCAGAGATAGGCTGACTTAGTGTTAGCAGAATGCCAAGATCATATATATCTGTATCACATTCTACTTTGAGGCTTTCAGACTATGAAAAGATAACACCCACATCAGTAACCATTAGGGCATTGTGAAGGTAGATTAGCTAATGTTAGGGAATGTTCTAGGTGACCTGGATTGATTCATTGTCCTTTTTCTAGTGGATTCTGTTCATGCAGCACGGTTAGAATTATTTCTTATCATTCTCAGTAGGATATCTCAACAGTCCCTGCTACTGGTATCATCTACTATGTCACAACTGCTGAGGGAACCATCTTGGAGCCGGTAAAATGTTAAACAGATTTTCTGTCTGTTTTGTCCTTTAGTTTTCTCACCAAGTGCCCCAGAAAATGAAATATCCACCACCATTCCCAATGGGACCCAACTCATCTCTTCTCTTCTCCCATCCTCTGGGGGATTCCCATGCTTTTTCTGAGGATCCCATGCTGCAGGACAGCCCCTTTGCCAATTGGGCGGTCTCTTATGACTCCTCTGCATCCCAGTTTCCCAATTACCTGACTTCCAAAGCTTCACCTCCTTTGGGACCAGACTCTTCCCACTCCTCTTCCTCTGATGGTGATGAGCCAAATGGAGCCAGTTCTGAGTAAGTATCTGTATAGACAACCAGGGGGAAAGACTTCAGAAGGAATGTGGGAAAGTGTATATTTTGGGCTTTTCTCTGTCATTCTTTGTTCTTTTGGCCCTCTGCAGATGATAATTTTCAGATGACCAGGCTACTGAGGTCAAAGGCAGCATAGCAGTTGGTTAGTGAAATCCTGATATGGATGTGCATTATAACTTGTCTGTCATTTCTCCGTTTGTGAGGGGGATAGTTTGAATGTAAAAAAAGAAAAATAATGTATAGAGTTGAAGTGATAGAACAGTTGAGTCGGCAGTTATATTGTTTAGCAACTGAGACAGGGTTCTGGTCCTAGCTCACTTTTTAAAGATTATTCCTCTAAACAGATTTTTCTTGGGAAGCAGAACTATTTTGAGACTGCAGTTATAATTATTTTCTTAGAATATAAGCAGATTCTTAGCATGGCCTTTTTTTAAGATATAAAGGATTCAGAGTGATTCCCATGACTTTTGATTGCTTTGGTTTGTGTCAGGTGAAAGAATCCAGGAAGGCAGTGATGGCCACTGAGAGGAAAGGTATCATCTCCAGTGCTAACCCAGTGTCTGGACCTCCAGAGGGTTTGCGAGATTCCTTGGGATCACAGTAGCCATCTTGAGTGGAAGTATCTTTAGCTTCCCTTTTCTGTTCTACACTGTCTTTCTAAATTTTTCAGTCACATCACAGAAACTCTTCAGCAGCAGCCTGGTTGGGAAGATCCCAATGGTGACAGAGGGTCTTGGGTACAGCCTGTGGATGCTGGAGTTTCAGAAACCAGCCTAGGTGATGGTGAGCCTCACATCCCATCTCTGCTGTCTATGTCTACAAGGAACCACATGGACATCACAATTCCACCCTTACCACCAGTAGCTCCAGAAGTCTTGCGGGTTGCTGAACACAGACATCGAAGGGGTCTTATGTATCCATATATCTATCACGTCCTCACTAAGGTGAGACAGCAGATCAGCACCCACTTCCCTTCTATTAAGAATACTTTATATTTCCTAGGACTATAAGTTATCAGAAAAAAAAGTCTGATGATTGGTGTTTGAAAAAAGATAAAGAAGACCAAGTGTGCTGGTGTTCCTCCCCATATTAAGGGCCCCAAATGAGTCAGGACCAGCCAGAGATAGGACTGTACAGTAAATGATGTGCCTAAAAGTGAAGTATAATTCTGAGATTTTGCATGACCATGCACCAAGTTGGTGGACGTTTTCTAGGGATAGGCAGTCTAAGAAGAGGCTTTGTGCCATTGTTCCTTATGCTTTCCTCTACTGCATAGCTGTTCCCCTCCTCTGGTCTTACCATACAAATCCATCCACCAGCAAATTGTCTAAGACTTTCCCCATTAATCAGCTGATGTCAATCATAAGTGAGACCTCCAAAATGGAATATAGCTTATAAATTGACTTGTTAGCTGGGCTTCTTACAACTTTTTTAATCTGATACTCTGCATACAAACAGAAAATTTAGTGGCTGGGCTGTAGAGGCTGCAGTTCTTTGTTGGTTCTTCTCAGTTTGGTTTCAAATCTTGAAAGTACTCATTTTCTCCTTTCCCTTGCACCTTTCTCTAGGGTGAAATTAAGATTCCCGTATGTATTGAGGATGAGTGTAACATGGAGTTACCTCCAGCTGCTCTCCTGTTCAGGTCAGCTCGTCAATATGTATATGGAGTCCTTTTTAGTTTGGCAGAGACACAGCGGAAAATGGAACGCCTGGCCATACGGCGGAGGCTACCTGTGGAAGGTAAGTGTAACTAGATCTAGCTTTGACGTCTCTCAATGCTTGACACAGCAAAGAAAAAAAGATATATATATGCAGACACATCATACAGGCTATGCAGTCTTTAAGAAAATGTGTCATTCATCAGTCACAGTGGTTCACACCTGTAATCCCAGTGGCTCAGGAGGCTGAGGCAGGAGGATCATGAGTTAGGTCAAAGCCAGCCTCAGCAATGGCAAGGCACTAAGCAACTCAGGGAGACCCTGTCTCTAAATAAAATACAAAATATGGTCAGGGGTGTGGCTCAGTGGTTGAGTGCCCCTGAGTTTAATCCCCGGTATCCCCTAAGAAAAAAATGCATCATTCATGAGAATATGTATCAATATGAGAAGCACATTAATGTAATAGCCCCAAATCTGCAATTATTAAACATTCGGAATGACTGCTGCTTATAAGAACCATGCTGGGCTTTGAGAATATGGAATTGTATCTGACACAGTCTTGTCTCCTCAGAAGGGTTTAGTTTTGGGATTTGAACCTGTGCTTAGGTGAAACCATTGGGGTGTTTCAAGCTACAGAGTAATATGGTCAAATCATTCAAAAAAAATACTGTAAATTTCTGCTTCCATGAAGATAGATTGGATGTAGTTTTTCTATTCTTGCTGCTAAGTACAACTAACCCCAGGACACATATAAAACAAGTATAAGATATTCTAGATGGTGGGGAGAAGGCAGACTGGCTGATAACCTTGAGGCACAAGGAATGATGCAGTGGTGCACTAGTGAGTGCCCTAGGTTTTCTTTTTGCCTCATATATCCCAGTCTGGGTGAGGAGCAGCAAGCTGGCAAATGGCCCAGAAATGTCAACAGCTGCAGACCAATAAAAGCCTCCAAAAAGCTGGCTTTCTGTGGTCAAAGAAAGAGAACAAACATCCTAGCAACATAGAAAAATTTTAGGTAATAACCACTGTACTCCAGCCATAATCCATAGCATGCATACACACACACACACAGAAAAGGCCTTATGAAGAGAGCCTAGACATTCATCCTTACCAGGTATAATGAGGTGCCTTACCTGCTGCTGCTGGGGAGGTATCAAATAAGGTTAAGCATGGACTGCAACTTTCCACTCCCACCTGGCAGTAATGAAATTGTGTCCTCCTTTACCAGTAGTGGTCAGAAAAGTCCTGCTAAAACACAATATTTAAATAAAATCCAGAATCTTTCAAAACATTCAGCTTTTGCCGGGCACGATGGCACATACTTACAATCCCAGTGACTCAGGAGACTGAGACAGGAGGATCACAAGTTCAGAGCCAGTCTCAGTAATGGTGAGGTACTAAGCTACTCATTGAGACACTGTCTTTAATTAAAAAAAAAAAGGACTGGGGATGTGGCTCAGTGGTTGAGTGCCCCAGAATTCAATCCCCAGTGCACCCCCTCCCCAAAATACAACAAATGTTCAGTTTTCAATTGAAAATTCCTCATCATGCCAAGAACTAGGAAGGTTTCAAATTCAAATGATCTCAAAGTGACTAAGAATAAAGTGACTACCAAGATGATAAAAGTCTGGATTATCTGAAAAGGATTTCAAAGCAGCCATCAATAAAATGTTTTTAACAAACAATTATAAATATGCTTGAAATAAACTAAAAATAGAAATTCTAAGCAAAGAAATAGAAGATTTAAAGAAAAGCCAAATGGAAATTAAGAACTAAAAATATATAATTAGCAAAATAAAACACTCAATGGATGGATTAAATCTTAGGTAAGAGATAAAAGAGGAAGAAATCAGTGAACTTGAAGGTAGAACAATAGAAATCACATAGTCTAAAAGAACAGAGAAAATAGACAGGAAAAATTAAGCATAACAGAAGATTTGATATTGGTATCATCAAAGTCTCAGAAGGAGAAAAGAAAGAGGATGAAAAATGCAGAAGTGTTCAAGAATAATGGCTGGGCTGTACTTAAATTTGGCAAAAATTTAAATCTACATATTTAAAAAAACTGCATTAATCACAAGGCAGTAAGGAAATCCGTGTCAAGATAGATCATGGTCAAAGTTTTCAAAAGTAGACAAAACTTACTGAAAGTAGCCACACAAAAATGGTGCTTATTGGGGAAAAATAATGCAAATAACAGCTGATCTCTAATTAGAAGCATTACAATCCAGAAGAAAGCAGCACAGTATTTACTGAAAGAATTGTCAACTCAGAATTCATTATCAAATAAGAAAATTCTCTAATAATTAAATTATGACATTTTTTCAGTTGAAGGAAAACAAAGATAATTTTTCATAAGCAGAACTACCCTAAAAGAGTGGCTAAAGGTAGTTCTTTTCATAGGAAGAAAATGATAAACTAAGGAATCATGGAGCATCAGGAAGGAAGAAAAAAACAGTGGAAAGAACAAAAGAATACATAAGTACAATAGACTTGCTGCCTTGAGTTTCTAAATTATGTTTCACATTGAAGCAAAAATCACAACAGTGTTTAATGTGGTTCTCTATTTAGAGAAAATATTTTAGACAATTATAAATAGGGTAGTGTAAAGAAATATAACATAGGTCAGGTTTCTACATTTCACTTGAACTGATAAAATTTCAATACCAGTATGCATAAATTATGCATATAATTTATTTATAAGTATTTGGAATTCAACCCTGGTCCTCAGGCATTCTAAACATATGCTCTACCACTGAACCATATCCCCAGTCTCCCTTTGTATATTTTTTAAATGCATGTTCTAGGTATTAAATACATAATGAGAGTGTGGTACAGTATGTGCCTAGCATTCATGAGGCCTTAGGTTCAATCCCTAGCACCCCCAAAATTATACAAAAACAGTTGTTCTCAAAAACAGTATAGATAGGGGCTGGGGTTGTGGCTTAGCTGTAGAGCGCTCGCCTAGCACGTGCAGGGCACCAGGTTCCATCCTTAGTACCACATAAAAATAAAAATAAAGGTATTGTGTCCAACTACAACTAAAAAAATATTTAAGAAACAACACTATTGAAAAATCAAAATAGAATCATAAAATTAGTTGAAATAATCCACAAGAAGAGAAAAATAAGAAAACAAAAGAAACACTTAAATAAAACTAACATGATAGACTTACTCTCTAATATATCTATAATTTTATTAACTATATAAAGTCTAACTATGCCATTTAAAATGCAGATTGGTAGACTAGATAAAAACTAGCCCAAGTAAATCTACTAAAGATTTACTTCAAATATAAATGTTTCAGTTGGTTGAATGTAAAAGGAAGGAAAATGAAACACATGCAAACCTTAATCAAAAGAAAGCAGGAACAGCTATATTAATCCCACATGTAGTAGATTTCTAAGAAAAGAATATTGCCAGAGACAGAAAGAGACAATATATAATGATAAAAGTGTCATTCTGCCAAGAAGATAAAGCAATCCTGAATGTGTGTCACCAAATAATATAGCCACAAAGTATATGATATAGTAACTGATAGAACTAAAGGAGAAATAGACAAACCCATAATTATAGAAACTTCAACTGCCATTTCAATAATGGGCAGAATCACTAGACAGAAGATCAGAAAAGCCACATAACCAGTGAGCAGGAGCTGGTCAACTCTTAAAGAACATCCAACAAGAGGACAATATACAGTATTTTCATGCAGCCCAGCCACAGAGCATATTGATCATATCCTTGGAAATGATCTATCCATGATAGATCATATCCTTGGAAATAAAACAAACCTCAGTAAATTTAAAAGAATTGAAATCATACAGAATATATTCTCAAACTTCTGTGGAATTGAATTAGAAATCAAAAACAAACATAAAATCTGCAAATATTTTGAAAATAATAAAGCATGTATATATAATCTTGAGGAAAAGTCTCAAGGGAAAGAAAGGCAGAACTGAATGAAAAATAAATACCAGTCCACCTCAACTTAAGATGGGCCTGTGTCCTGATAAACTTACCATAAGTTGAAAATATGTATATATGGAAATGTCACAGTGGAACTCATTAACTTGTGCAATTAATATGTGTTAACAATTAAAAAATAAAAAGCATTTAATATGCCTAACCTAATGACCATCACAGCTTAGCAACATAGCACAGTGTAGAGTATCAGTAGTTTTTCTTCATGACCGACCACATGGCTGACTGGGAGTTATGGCTCACTACTACTGCTCAGCATCAAAGAGAGTTTTGGACTGCATAGCTCACCTGGGAGAAGATCAACATTTAAAATATGGTTTCTATTGAATGTATATTAACTTTTTAACTATCATAAAGTCAAAGTAACATAAATTGAAAAATTATAAGTTGGGGACCATCTGTACAACATAGTAAAATTTGTGGAACAGAGCTAAACCATTGCTGAAAGGAGAAATTAATACCACTAAATGCTCACATTAATAAAGAAGAAGCCAGGTATGGTAACACATGTATATAATCCCAGCTATTTGAGAGGCTGAGGCAAATTCAAGGCCAACCTCAAAAACTTAGACCCCCATCTCAAAATTAAATTTTAAAAAGTCTGGGGCCAGTAGTATTGGGCCCAGTAGTATTGTGTTTGCCTAACACACGTGAGACTCTGGGTCCATACCCAATTCATTCAAAACAAAACAAATCCAAAAGAAGAGCCTCTAATCAGTACTCTAAAATTTTATTTCAAGATATGAGAAGAGGTTAACCTGGGCCACCCTGGGGGTGAGAAGCCTGCCAGGCTTGGGGTAGCTACATACTGTGAGGAATTGTGCAGGGGGAATGGGGGTACATGTGGGGAAAGCCTGGACCACAAAGTGGAAGGGCCTTTCTCCCTCCCTCCCACCCTTCTTTATCAGTAGGCCTCAAATCTATAGCAGCTGCCTTAGGCCCAGTAGAGGGCAGCACCTAGCCATGCATCCTGATCCTTTTCCAGGGGGTTTGAGGCCTATCAACCTGGGACCCTGGAAGAAGGCATCACCCAAGTTCATTGGGTGGGGGGAGGAAAACTCAGGTATGCCCAGCTTCTGGGGAGAGGGCCTATGTGCATAT